ACATGAAAATTGTCCATTAAAGTGATATTTTTTCCACAATTGGTTATAAAATTTGTTTCCATTGCCAAAAAATAAAAAAAAAAAAAAAAAAAGGGAAAAAATTGTTTCCTAAAAAATTATTTTTATAATCAAAGTTTAGTATTCGTTTGACTTTGTTTTACATGAAAATTGTCCATTAAAGTGAATTTTTTTTTTACCATTGGGTATGACATTTGTTTTCATTGCCAAAGAAAAATTTCCAGCCAGCCTGAAAATTTTTTTCCCACCAAAAACGTGGGAAAATTTTTTCCTCAATTACCCGGAAAATGCAAACGTGTGGGGGTAAGATGGAAAATTTCGCCTATCATACAATCAAAAAAGTGGAAAGTTGAAAATATTTTCCTAATTCCCTGTATAATTCCGCCAATCAAACATGACCTAAGTGTTTGTCACTTTTTTTTTAATGGTTTGTTACGTTTTTTGGAAACATTTTTTGTTTTATGTCACTTTCTTCAAATTTCTATCAAAATGACATTGTCATTAAGTGGAGGTCCAGGGTTGGCGAGCCATTTTGATTGTTGTCTTATCGATGAACTAATTTAAAGATATTTGGCGGTGAACGGAGATAAAGGAGGAATGGTGGTTATGTCACTTTGTTGAACTGGTTTCAATTTTTTAATTGATGTCTGTTCCTTGTTTGAATTTGTGTCACTTTTTTCTTGAATTTCTACCACATTTTTTAGTCACATTTTTTCTGTCACTTTCTTAAAAGTTTTGTCAATTTTTTAGTAACAAACATCATTTTTTAATAAAAGTGACATAAACAATAAAAAAAATGACACAGAGCTTTAAGAAGTGACATTACGTCACTTTTTAACACTTAATTTTGCACAATGTTTTTTATTTTCAAAATATTTTTATATGATTTTTCAAAAGATCCCTAATTTTTTCAAAAGATCCCTAACTTTAGGGGCATTTTTGTAAGTCGTCCAAAAATAAAGGGAAAATTAGGCACAGTACGGCCCAATAATTAGTAAATTGATTAATAACCTTTCACTTCTTAAACTTTCAATAGTCGTGTAAATTACATTCAAAACTCAAAAGAAAAAGAATGCAATTCAACCCCATCAATCCCTAAATCTACGATTTTCTCCCTGCCAGTACTTAACGTTTTCAATCAACCACCATCAAACCCTATCTTTCTCTCTCCATTCATTCAATCCAAGGTTAGGATCAGAGTTTTATTAGTTTTCCTGGTAAATTCTTGTTCTTGTACTTTACTCCATAATGAAGTGGATGTTTTATTTTCGTCGAAAAGTTTGTAAAAATCTTTGTGTGATCAATTGAAAAGGAAAAGCTTCAACTTTTGTATTTCCATTTAACTTTCCCACCTCTCACTGAATTATTTTCCATTAACTACACACTCTATTATATTTGGGTGATGCTAATGGTACATCATGGTATACATAAGGCATTACACCCCTCTCACATGGGGGGTGGGGGTCCACTCGAATAAAAAAATATTTTGAGTGGATCCCACCCCCATGTTGGGGGGTGTAATCCCTTATGTACACCACTTGATATACAAGTAGAAAAACCCATTATATTTATAATGGAGAAATATATGTCAATTCTTTTGGAATCTTTTGCTATATTTTCATTGAGAACAAAATATGTGGAAAAGTGCACTTAACATTCGCGTGCACTTCTTGCTCTTAGACTTACTTTGTTTGAATTGATTTCTTAAAATATTTTTAGAGTATTATATAAAGTTCTAGTTTTATAATTTGTTGCAGAACAATTCTTACATTGGGAAGCACAAATTGCATTATAAGAGGGCAATTGGGCAACTATAACAAGTCTAACAGTAGATGGCAGCCCTGCTACATAGTTATATTTCCAAAATTAAGTTGTGTTTTGTGATGATTAGAATTATAAGATGTTGTATTCCGTGTTCGGAGAAATCCATTTTGTGTCCCTAAAAAGAGCATATGCTCTTTTGTTGTTTGTGAACACAATGTAGTTTTTGCAGTATTGTAATTTTCTCCATTCTTTATCAATAATTTGGATAGTGGAGCCATTTAAGATGCTCTTTCTTCAATTTGAAGCAGATTAGTGGTTTAGCTATGTTGTTTTTTGAGTGTGTGTGTCTTTTTTATTGTTTGTTACTTTTTTTTAGATTTACGCTACTTTTTTGAGTGACAAACATAAGTTTTAATTTGGTGTTTTGTCACTTTTTTTAGTGTGTCATTTCTTTTTGTAGGATTGAGATTTTAACAATCCTTCAAAAATGTTGGTTTGAAGGAAAAGTCACGTTATATTCTCCACACAAAATAAAGTTTAATTGGTGTTTTGTCACATTTTTAAATGTAAAGTTTAGTCACTTTATGTAATTGATTTCAATGTTTTAATTGGTGTTTTATCACATTTTTTAGTTTGTCATTTGTTTTTTTTTTGTCACTTTTTATTTGAGTGTTCGTCACTTTTTTTATTTGTCTATTTTTTTAGTATTTGTCACTTATTTAAAAAAAAATTCTGTCACTTTTTAGAGTGAGAAATTTCACTTTTTTTTTTGTAAAAAACTTTTTAATGAAAAAATAAATAAAATAACACTTAATTTTACAAAGTATCTTTTACTTCCAAAATATTTTTCATATGAATTTTCAAAGTGGTAATTACATAAAACCAGACATTAAGTTTGACCTTTTTAAAAATCAGGTTTTGATTTTATTTAATCAAAAATCAGGTTTTAATTTTACAATTAATATTAATAATAATATTTTAAATTAAATTAATCTATATACACATCCTACTATCTACCCCCACCAAATTTATTTTAACTATAAAATCCTATCCAAACCCTAACGGTCAATTTCATTTCATTCTCTCCCCTCTCTCACCCACCGCCTCCGCCTCCACCACCACCGCTAGCCGCCTCTTCCCCTCGCCCTCCTCTCCTCTGACCCTCCCCTCCTTCCCTCCCTCCCTTCTCCACCCTGTCGCAGCAGTTGCGACACTCCAAATTGCCAAAT